TGGTGAAAAATCATGTTTGGAAAAGCTGACGCACCCAAAAGCTAAGCCAGGAGGGGATGAACCATGAAAGCTGAATACTCTCTCAACTCAATAATTCCATAGCAATTATACGTGTGCCAAGTTTCACCTTTCCAATTCTGTCCAATTCACCACGACAATTATGTGAAAACATCTCCCCTTGAAATTCATGCCCCCAGGGCATTTCATTAAAAAGGCTGAATTTTTCTGCATACAGCATCCCGGCAGGTAATTATGTACCAAGTTTCATCTTTCACACTAGCTCAATACACCAGGACAAAAAAATCTATTATATAGACGATACAGGCATATTTTTGTGAGTCGACGTTTTCAAGTATTTTTTTTTTGTCCTGGCGTATTGAGATAGTGTGAAAAGATGAAACTTGGTACATAACTACTTATTGGGATGCAGCAGAAAACCTCAGACTTTGGAAATAAATGCCCTAGGGGCATAAATTTCAAAAGGAGATGTTTTCAACTATTTTTTTTGCATCAGTTAAAATAATGAACATGGAAAGCATATACTTTGCATGAATGTGACTACTGAGACAAGGAGTTAAATAAAAATGTTAAATCTTGATACATCCCCCTGGGATAATTTTTTCGAGGTGCGATGTTTATAAAAAAATAATTGCCGTTGCGAATTGGACAGAAATGGAAATGTGAAACTTGGCACACAAATAAGTGACATGATATTGCTGAGGTGTGGGAATATTCAGCTTTCATGGTGCATCCCCTCCGGGCGTAGCTTTTGGGTGGGTCAGCTTTTCCAAACATTGTTTTTCACTAGCGAAAAGGGCAAACGTGATAATATTGAAACTTTTTGGGTGTGTAGTTCACTGAGGATTGATTTCGGTAAACATGGTACTGTTTGGTTAAAACGCCTGAGGACACATGATTTTCAAAATGCTCATTTTTCCTAATTTTCTTATCCCGAAAAACAGAGGGAGCTAGAAAGTTTAACCTTGTCAAAGAAGTAACTAATGTACAGCTGAGTAAAGAAAAAATTATACTTTTCTTATATACTAGCGAGTTTGTTTGCCCTTCGGGCAATCATGCCAGGTACATGTGTACCATGTTTCAGATTTCTAACTTCTCTGGAACATGGTTAAAATTAGCGTCAGTCAGTCACGATCGTCTATATATATATGAGACTAGTGGCTGCGCCTTCGGCGCTCTATTACCTTGGATATCGATTAATTAATTCATTTTTTTGCGAAATTGGAGGGAAGTATTTTGAAATGTATTCTCCCCCCTTACAAAAAGGGATACAAGAAAAGATTTAAAGTTAGGCACACATAGAATTATATAGGTAATGATTTTGATAAAAATCAAGACTATCGACCCCATATGTCATGCATTTCAATGGGGACATACTTTAAATACGTGTTTCCCATTTCGCAAAAAAAAAAGAATTAATTAATCAAAATCCAAGGTAATGGAGCGCTGAATGCGCGGCTAGTTTCAGATAGTCCTCTTGCTTCTCATGAGAAACTTGACTAATCGACTTTTTAGTTACGATATGCATTGTAACTCTAGGCTGGTTTGATATTTGATGACCCATTGGACTTGCTGGACTTGGAGATGCTTTTAATAGTCTTCCAATCCAATCCTTCATGAAGTTTTTAGTAAATATGGTTTCATATTTTCGGACATGCTCCATTTTCCAGTGAATAATATCACCATATTTTTCTTCATCCTGTAATAATATTCCGTGGAATCATCGTGGGAGCCTAGTGGATGGTCAAGTTTCAACTTTCTTCAGTTCTCTCTTTCACTGGATGAGAAAATATTCCTAAAAAAGCGCCTTTTGCAAGAAATGTGGCCTCCTAGGTTTTACTAGAAACTAATTTCTTTTACTGAAATCAGTACTCGGAGAACTACAAGCTTACTAAGTTTCAGGCTGATCCGTTTGCTCTCTTTGCTAGTGGAAATATATATTTGGAAAAGGCAAAGCAAGCCAAAAGTAGTGCCCACCACAAAATGTGAAAATTGTATTAAATTGCTATCACATCAGTTGTTGGTGTACCAAGTTTCACTTTGTATATCTGCCCTATTCGGTAAGATACATTTTTTTTTAAAACGTCACAACGCAAAAATATGCCCAGATGGCATTCATGCAAAACGTGACATATTTTTGAAGTCAGAGTTTCAGTAAGCACGTCCGTGTAAAGTTTCAACTTTCCATATTTATTCGTTTGACTGAAGCAAAAAAAAACATTTTTAACATCTAACCCCTGAAACGTGTACCCCCAGATCAATTGCTTCCAAAAACTCAATTTTTTAAACTCGACAATCTTATAGAACTCACTTTCTTTCAAGGACCAGTATAGAGATAATTGGAAAAAAGTCAAGAAATTACCTTGACCTTTAACTAGGCATTGTTGGAAAGGCTGGAAACCAATACAGCGACCAATTTAAAGAATGCAATGGTGGAGGTCACCTTCGGATTTTGATGGATGGAATGTAGCTGAGACTCTGCAACACACTTCACTTCCTGGGCATGATGTGTTTGAGATCTTTGTCCCTGGATCGCAGGCACATACACCTGAGCGAGGAAGGCACACATGGCTGGATGGGCATGGTGACCCAAGTGGCGTTGTTTGCACGACAGGTTTAGTGACTGACTGTGTGTATTCAGTATTCGTCTGGATCCAATCAACGAACCTGAAAGGATCGAATAGAGAATGAGATCAAATTCTAAACAAATTATGAGAAGGAAAGGCTAGACTGAAGTTAATTTTCAAATTGTATTTGCATTGAAACTATCCTGCATACAATGATATCGAGTGAAGGTATTAACATAAAAATGTGAATTTTCAGGATTTGTTTCCATGACCAAAGAGGTTACAGCAAACTCGGAAAGAGGGATGTATAATGGTTCTACAGAGAAATAAAATTTAAAGGATTTCCCTATCCTTTAAATAAAGCCTTACAATTAACTTGAAAATTGATTTGGATATGAGAGAGTCCCTTTGTTGCGCAACGATGATGAAGTAGTTGCTGCACCAATAGGTTTCGACGGTAAAAAAAATGTATATGTCTTTGGAATGTGAAAAATAATATTTTTTTTCTTTAAATTGACCAAAGTTTCCCAGTTAGAAACTGTACTAGTCAACATGAAAACCACGGCGGCCGTGAGGGAATCCATTTTTACGCAATCATGATGCAGCAGTTGCAGGAGAAATTGTTTTAGTTGGGCAAAAAAAAACCAGTTGGAATGTTGAAAAAAATATTATTTCAAACTTCATTGATCTACGTCACCCTATCAGAAACCTTGCCCACAAAAATAGCACATAAATTTGAAACAACATGGATTCAATGTTGACTAAATGTTACGTGTTCCTAGGGAATACCGTGAAAATCACGGCGCACGTGTGGGAGTTTATTTGTTATGTAACTATGGTGCAGCAGTTGCGGCAAAAATAGTTTTAGATGACTAAAATTGTTCTACTCAATTGCAACAAATACTAAAGAATGCAAATGCATTGATTTTAGTCGGTTCTCCTGGGCAATTCTTGAAACCCAATTTTCTCCAGACAGCGGTCCGCAACGACAAAGTACCAAGAACTGATTCACTTCCATTTCGCAAGGCCAGGACCTTAAATTTTCTTAGTCTTCTATTGCGAAGGCGGCAATACCGAAAACTGGCACCGATCAGTCAGTAGAGGATATTCTAACAAATGAAGTATATTTAAAAGAAACGAAGGAAGATTCCATAAATCCAGCGATATATGACGAAATAGACGCCGTTGGGACGCATTTGAGATTTGTAAAGTAGGGGGAAAGAAAAATGGGAGGAACAGGAAAGGAATTTGGGAAAAGGCGGGAGAAGACTCTGTTGCAGGGATAGTGAGCTCGTAATGAAAATTTAAAAAGCGTTTCACACGAAAAAGCAATGCTTGACCAATTAGACCAATAACACTTGAACCAACCTTGACAAACTGGACAAGCTACGCCCTAGGATAAATTGAGGAAAGTTATCATTCAGTACTACAACAGCCACACTTCCGAGCTGTATATACAGCAAAAATAGAAAAAAGCCGCCAAATTAATGGAATCACGAAAATGCAGTATAACCCTCTTCAGTTGGGTACTTGCGAAGATTTTGCTTGAATCGTTAAGAAAAGTGTTTAAAGTATTTTTTTCCTTTCAAGATTTATGTACATTTCCTTTGCGTTCAGGTCGTCATTCGACGGGAGGGGAAGGGGCATTAAAGATAAGAGATATCCAAAAATGCATGGATGATCCAAAACTTGTCCATGGACGAGTCCAGTAGTCCAGAGATGGGTTAAAGCTCCAGAAGCGGTCGTCCTTTGGATGCACGTAGAACGTCAATAAAGTGAAAGCTGCCATTCTACCGTACTTCCAGGAGGAGTTCATGGATGCAATGAACAAGGCAGGTCATTCCAAATCATAATGCGTGAAAATGGCATTTGTCTCGCGCGATTATCACCGAGGCGACCGCGAAATCAGCCCTTCGCTGACTATACTAAATCTTGCTTGTCTCCTTTTCTGAATGTTACTTTAGCAGCGTTAAATTTACAGTGAATTGATCGACATTTTGGCACCCTACAAAATGAGGTCTTTGGCTCAAGTCACCGACCGAAGATAAAATAGTAATGGGGATGCCAAAGTTCAAAATACAAGGATAGTGGGCGAAGACCACCCCATTTACCATAGATGTTAAATCACCAAAATGAAAATATTTTGTCGAATTTACTGATATAGTTGGATATAACCCTATCGAGTTACATCCAACTTTCCAGTTTCGAGGAAGCACGTCCTATGACATAACAGAAGAGAAAGCAAGACCCATTCGAACATGCGAAAGAGAAATTCCCCATGAAGAATTCGCATCAGGTTTATAACCACTTAGTGTCTATCAGAGTATACAATAAAATATTCCTAAAAAAAAGTACTTAATCAGGGAAACGGCTCTGGATTTGGGAAAATTCCACAGGTATTTTAAAAAATCTCGAGCGAGCAAGAGCGAGACTTCGGAAAGACGGCGAAAGGCATAATGGTCTAGAACTCCTTCGAACAGAATGGGAGGATGAAAATAAGAATGACATGGAAAATGTTTCTAACAAATTCAAATGCTGCATCCACTTCTAATCGTTTTTTAAATTGAGACTTGTATCAGATTGGACCATCGGGAAAGAATACATTTTAGTATGAAATTTCAACGCAACATCCAGATGGAAAATCGATTTCGATATTCATTAGTTCCATGCTTTCATCATCATTAAAGAGGTAGCGTCATTAAATACAGCCACAAAGTCAACTCTTTTGGGAAATTTTAAAATAGATTTCAATAGAATATACATTTTTTTTAGAGGTCTAAACCTATTTGTGCCGCAACTATTGCACCTTGGTTGCATAACAAATAGACTCCCTCGTGTCCGCCATGATTTACATGGTGATTAGTATGGTCTGACAGAAAGAGAAATCAATTCGACTTGAAATATAATTGTTTAAATTCCAATGTAATAGGCTTTTTCGTCGACTAAACCCATTTTGCGCCGCAACTGCTGCGTCAAAGTTGCGTAACAAATAGACCTCACCAATAGACCACAATAACCTCACGTCTGCCGTGATTTTCAGGGAATTTGAAAGGGTTTCTCATTTTTTGTGTTTTCTGTACCCTCTTTGGTCATGGGAAGAAACTCTGAAATTTTCACATTTTTTGGTAGATTCCATCTCGGGAAATCATTGGATGTTAGATAGAATTTGGAAGATGGAATTTTCATGCAAACTTTTTTTTTTTGAAAGAGCAGGATGAACGAATGGGAGGAAAAAAGACGAAAGGCTGAAATTGCGACCTGACCGATTGACTCTGGTGAAAATGGTATATTCGCCCGGGCGCCTCAGGGAGCAAGGTTCCTTGGTGAAAGTGTGACTCACGATTCCCTCGATCTGCCACTGCCGCAGGGCGTCGGTATAGAAGACCATGGGACTGCCTGAATCTCCAGCACAGGCGGCTTGGAAATCTAAATGCCGAAAATTTCATCGATGTGGATTTCGCGAATTGGTAACGTTTGGCATAAATTACTTTTCGTGATTCTTCTTCCTACAGAGGACTGGAATGTCTACTTGGAAACGACCCAGTCGACTCAACACTGTTGCCTAATGCTTTAAATATACTATGTTATTCTGAAGAGACTTCTGCATATGTGTATAATATCTACTTACATAACGACCGGCATCTGTCTGCATGACCGGATTTTGTCCAGTGAACTCCTCCTGAGTTTCTCAACCGATTTCCACCGTCGATACCTCATTCGATTTGTACGCTTGTACTTTTCTGCAGATAGTTCAACTCACTTTAGATTTTTTTTAGAGTTGACCTGACCAGGATGGAATTCCCTATTAATTTAAGCCGCACTTCCTGGCCTGACACACCATTCCACTGACCTAGAATTTATGCATTAGAATTTGTTTTCACATTGTAAAAATGTCGACATTTGATCCTCCTACAGTCAATTCGATATGAGAATGCACTACCGCCATCTCTGTACGGTCTTGGTAACTGCTACCGTACGGCACCATTTTTATATGCTTGACCTCTCGCCAAAGCTCAGATTTCTAAGTTGTCCTGAGAAGTGTTCGTCGTTCTCATCACCAGCGGGAATGTTATAATATCGTCTATCGGCATTAGTACCAATCATAAATTCGTAAGTTGGTTGGTTGAAATTGCGTGTTCGTTGTGCATGCTCATGGCGGTCTTATTCCTGTTTTAGTTTTGTTCCACGGGGCCCTCATAGGCATGTTACAGGTTTTTCATATGAATCATCGGTGTTTTTCCCCTGGGGAAAATTATTCCATTATCGTGGCACAAAATTTCCGACAGAGAAACATCTGGATGATGCACTCGGGCCGCTGATCGCAATCATCCTCCAGTGAACAAAGTCCAATTTCCCCGTCTAATCACTCCGTGTGTACAAGGGATTTCGACTAGTTACAAATAAGAGAATGTCAGTTATGGTTCCGTCCTGTCCGTTGGTATATCTGTCTGTCACACTCTGGCTTTCGGATTACAACTTTAAAAATTATCGCCTTAGGAAAGCGAAAATCGGTAAGCAGGGAGACGCGAACAAAACACAGGCTGAGTTTTTTTCCTGGCGAATTTGCACCAAAATTCTCATTTTCATTGCAAATTTTGGATTTGAAATTCAGTCACAGCCGGGAAGACATGAGTACAACCTAATAGTACTCATATCCAAATAAGTACTGTCTAATAGCCTTCGCGGCGAATAGTTCCAACCAAGCACAAAACTCCATCCTTCCATCATCATTTCATTGGCCCCATGTATAGATCGGCCCAATCTAATTGGGAAATTGGATTTTTCATGATCCAGGACAAGAAGGAGATTACATTTTCTCAAAATGGTTGACAAAGAGAGTCTCCTTAAATGAAATGAAGCCCACTCCTGGGCTGGGCTTGCACATCTAGTTCTCTGTGAATTTTTCAGGGAAGACTCTCTGTGAATTTTTCAAGAAGAGGAGAATTTTGAAGTGAATGAATGGCATTTCGAGGAGCGATGCGATCAGGAGGTTTAAATTGACATCTGGAGAATGACACAACGCCGAAACATTTACCCTTTCAAGGACATACCTTGAGAAGAAGTATTTATATTATTGCCAGCGCAGAAAGAGTTCCAGCTGAGGGTTCGCGTGGAATCGGGGCTCCCCGTGAGGTGCGTCGTATCCCTATGACAGACGGCATTCGATAAAACCGGAATTTCAATCTCCATCAACTCGCTGCTCAGCTCATCCGAGATGTTTTCGCCCCAACTCGCCACCTGCCACCGAGAGACACGAGTGACAAGGAACCCGCAGTATAGGGGGAAACACGCGCATGCGCAGTGGAGCGGCTCACCGTTCCTCGAGTTCCGCTCCCGAGGTTTGCCTCCGAAAGATGGAGGAACTGTTTTGTCGGGAGGCAGATCAACTGAACTCTTTCGGTGAACTGTACCGGCTCTGCCAGTCTCAGCAAGGCGATGTCTGAGTCGAAGTTAAATAAGTTATAACCTCTGTGAAGGACGATCGTGGACACCTGGGAAGAGACCATATCGACACATTGTCCCACTGTATAATATCGGGGCGAAATCAAAACTAGGTATTGGTATTGGCATTGGTATTGGAGACCTCTCTCTTTTGCACGAATCCATCATCCAGGGAGTCATTCCGATAGTATTTCCCAAGATAAACCAGGAAGTCTTTCTGATCCCGAGGTCTTGCGCCTATGGCGAGGCAATGAGCGGCGGTCAGAACCCATTCTTCTCGAATGAGTGCCCCTCCACAGACGAGAAGATTCTTCCTGACGTCGTAAATGGCAGCCACCCACGGCCACTTTCCGACGGCAGATGGATTTCCTCCTGCGGACAAACGTTGTGGCACTCTTCCTCCACAGGCTATCTCAGGAATAGATATTCCTCATAGTGATGTTCTGGGAGGCGACGCATCTCTCATTGTCAAGGAAAAACCAGGGAATGGAAGCTGACCGGGCTCACAAAACGTATTTTTTCCGTTCCATCGTCCGTTCCCTGTGCATCTCCGGCGTCGTGATCCTTTGAGACTATAATACTCGTTGCACGCGTATTCCACGGTGCTTCCAATGACATACTCACCGTCTTGAAGGCATTCTGTTTGGTTTTCGTAAACCGTTTCGTGCCGATTCCTATCATCTATTCTGGAAGTAATGATAAATTATCATTCATTCAGGTCTCCGCAAATGAGATAAGAGACTACCAAAATCCCGCATCATCAGAGCTTTTTGAGTACTAATTATGATCTTTCCAACCGTGTTCTAGACTATTACATGGTTACAATTAGCACCAGTCCCTCTGTCGCTCAATAACGATCGTAATGCTGGAAAACAGAGAAAATATGTAATACGTTGAGAGAGGGTAATCATTCCTTTGCACCACAATCAAGCGCTTCGAGCCTCATTGAGACTTTAAAGCGGGAGTGTTCGAACCGAGGTGGGAAAGTGTCGGAACTTGATTTTTTTTTTCCCGCACTTTTGTTCGGACTTCCTCATTGCATTATAGGAATGTCGCTTGGCTCGGAAGGACCAAGCAAGCCTCCAGCTGGCACCGCTCGGCGAATGGTGGGGCTCGATCAGCTCGGCTGTGCGGGCATTGGTGGTTTTACCCTACTCTTAGGTGGGAGGCCATGGCGTCGTGTCTCGTCTTCGTTAGCGAGAGAGTGGAACCGGATCCCGTCGATTTCATGAGAATGGCTTAGGTGGAGGTCCAGAGAGGGCTCGCAGCTTTTGGGAAAAAAAATATATAATTGCTTCAACCTAGTCATTTAAGTAGAAAGATCGTTCCACTCAGCGTGAAGCTTATTTCAGTCAAATTCAAATTAAATTAAGGTCAAATTAAGTTAGTAAGTCAAATTAAGGAACTCGTTTCCCGCCCGTGAAGATATATTCCTATCGTGGCTCGACCCTTGAAGGCAAGTCGTCTCAGAGGTGCAAGACGACACGGTTGTCTCCTGAGTCGGCCTTCGTGGGCTGAGAGAAACACTGATTATGCAAACCAAAAACCTCGAGTTTCCTTGTTTTCCCCCATGACATCTCTCGTTTCCGGTCCTTACCTCTCGTTAATACCTGGGCAGGATATCACAGAAAAATGTCCATTTTCTACGTCCACGACATGTCTGCATCCGCTCTGTACGCCGACTGGAAGAGATACGTGCCCAAAGTTGTCAAATGTGTTGCATCATTGCGGAAGCGATCAAATTTCGACTCAAAACGATGAGAAAATCATCGGGGTTTTGCATCCATCTAGTATATTTCTGTTTCTGAAGCATCGATAACGAACATACACGACCTCATCTGTCACGATTAGCACCATCTCACTTGATTTTTTGCGAATCAGGCTCTTGTTGTAAGAAAACATCATGAAAAAAAAAACCTTTGGGGAAGAAGAATTTCAAAACTTATTTGCATCTCTTAAGCGTAAGTGGTATGATATTGATGTATTAAGCATTAAAAAAAAATGTTTGAAGATGAATCCGGAACGAAGCACGAGAGTTTCGTCCATGGACTGGTTGCGTTTAATCGAGAGGGGAAGCCGAGGGGCCAGCCGCTTCGAACCTGGAACATCCCCCGGCTTCGATGGGCGGACAGCCGGACGTACTGAGACGGCCGATCGAAGTCTCGATCGGCTGCCTCAACTGATGCTTCCCATCGCCTGCATCTCCAGAGACGAAATCGGGACAAATGAAGGAACGCTTCGAGTCAGCACTGCAATAATGGTTCCCGGAAGATCAGATTCATCGCCGTGGATTTTTCCGACTGACAGCTTGCGTGAAGCTGGACTTTCTCCATTGCTCCGGAAAGGTTAACTGCATTTCCTTGTTCTTCATGTTCGCGGAGTTTTCACGGCTTTTTCCTGAAATGTTACACCTAAGAGTCTCGAGTTCCGAGTCCGACAACGAAGAGATTCTCCATAACATAAAAATTTCCTCATCGACTCCTTCCAGGAAAGTAATCAACGGCTTAAGAAGAAAATCTTCCCACTTTTCCCGTGTTCTAGGACGTAAATGAAATGTTTTTTGGCGAATAAGGAAAAATAATTTATTAACGAACTAACGGGAAATGTGATTCCGTCAAATAGTGCATTTCTACACGAGGAAATGCCTTAGTCGGAATTTCCAAAAAAAGTTTTTCTCTTTCGGTGAGGATGACTCACTTCACTACGAGACGGAAGATGGTAGTGACCGAGAATAAAGATGAAACGAGGTAGGTCGAATGAACAGGACTCACCATCGGACCCGAAGCTGGGCGATGGAAAATGGAGGGCGGAGAGAACGAAGGGAAGGAAATCGAGAAAGGCGTCCATCTTCACTTGCACTTTCACTCGTTGACCGATAATGTCCCAGGATGAGACATCCGGATTAATAATCTGGAACGGAAAACCTTATCGGCTTCATCCGGGAAGACCCGGGGGATAAAGGAGGAGTCGAGAGGAGAATTGGGAGAGAGAGAGAGAGAGAGAGAGAGAGAGGGATAGCGAGAGCAAGAGCGAGGAGCAGCTTGTGGGGTGGGGCGGGGATCAAATAGAGATTTGTCTGTGAGACGTTTTTCTGGTGTTTCTGGTGTTGTGTCTTTTGTCGCTCCAATATTTTATTTCATCACCCTTTTTATTTTAAATCTTTGAATATTAATATAAATCTGTAATTATTGTGATATTCCGATGGTGGATTTTTTTCCCTGAATTTGCTGTACCGAACCCGAGATTACCGAATAATCCTACAGTCTTGTATTGATTAGGCTTCGTCCCCTATCCAATACGTGACAAAAGAAAGAAAAGATCGCACCACAACATGTGAGACGAGGCGAGGCCGAACGAGCTGCTTAACTTAGATCCATTGTAGGCTTGGGTGCCACGGATGCTCTCCTCATTCTGCCCAACAACGTTGTGTCAACATTGACAACAAAATGAAACATTGAGACAGTATTGAAGAAATGAGTTGCATCATTCAAGTACTAAACTTGAGTTCTGATCCGGTTAATGAAGTTACTCGGAAGGACACTTCTGCAGTTTTATTGCACTCATTAGAGCAATTTCGACTTCTAATCAATATTAGCGCCCGCTTAGGCTCAGAAAAAGGAGAAGGTAAAGCCTAAACCTTGACAAGTGACAATTGGCACAACGTGAGACATGATCCTATTTTCAACGTTGAACTGTGTTTCATTTTTACATTGCAGCAACATTGAATCCATATTTTACACATCTTTGTGAAAACACTGCTGAGTGTTGTGTGTATGATGTGCATGTTCCCATTAGTTTGGTTTCTCTGGGCGTTCAAGGACGAATTCGCCTTTCTTAACCTAAATTCTCAAGTGTTTTTCCTGAGGCAAATTATTCCTTCGTCACGCTACAAAAACAACTAGGAAATACCATAACATGCCTAACACCGGCAAATGGTTGAAATATTGAGACATGGTTGAATTTCAGAATTTAAGGGAGAATACGAAAAAATAAATTAAATGCTGGCTGTTCGTAATGAACCGAATCTTCAACGCACTGAGACTGCATTGCCGAAGTCGTTTAGAAGCTATTAGGTAAAAATTCGTTTTTTCGCATTTTCTTTCCTCACGGTCTCAATATTGCTTCGAAATGGAGTTATCCACATCATCTAGACGGAAAGTAGGTTCTCGCAATTGGCGCGAGATGACGCCTAATCGCAAAGTTAGCAATTCTAACCCTGATGCCTGAAAAGTATAGTTCCCTGGGGATTTTTCGTTCAGTACACGATCTGTTCCCACGTGCAACTTGAGAGAAAGCTTTGGAATTCCTCGATAGACCCTTAGAAGGAGGTAATCAGGCAGAAGGAGACTCCGGGTACTTCTGGCCAGAGGGTCCGAAGACACACGGCAATTTCGCCTGCCTCACTTCAAAGTGCACCAAATGACCCGGACTTTTTGATATCTTTTTCGCATCTCTTTCGAGAATGGCAGTACGTTAACCGGCCTGCGAGGGTGTGTTTAACTTTACTCATTCGTGGGAGATGAAACAGGGGGTGATGCCAGGCACGTAACTCCCTCGCTGGACAGAATCAATTGCTTTGTTCAAATATTAAACTCGAGGTTTGATCCAGTTAAAGAAGGTGAAAAATCCGAAGGACCCTTCCGTGGAATACAACACTTATTAGAGTGCTCTATTCAATATGAGCGCGCGTGAAGGCTAAAAAAAGGGGGAGATGATGCCCAATCTCCCAGAATTCAACGCTTGCACAACGGGACACATGATCGAATCAAGGCTGTTTCATTTCAACATTGCGGGAGCGCGGAATCCCCCCTTTTACCCACCGTTGTGGCAACATAACTACGTTGAAAAATCAACCCTCTCTCAACCTTGATCTGACGTTGCTGGCCGGATGGGTTAGCTTACCAATTAGAGTACTGCCACATAGAATATCATTGTGCTGAAATTACGTGTGCGTATTACATGCTCATGGCTGTCCGATTCCGTGTTAGTTTTGTCCCTCGGGCCCCTCACGGGCATGTAACAGGTTTTTTCTCAAGAGTTTTCAGTGTTTTTCCTCTGAGTAAATGTATTCCATTATCGTGGCACACAATTATCAGCAGAGAAACAGCTGGATGATGTCCTCGGGGGGGGGGGGGGGGGGGGAAAAAATCCCGGGTTCATATTGAATAGAGCACTCTAATAAGTGTTGTATTCCACGGAAGGGTCCTTCGGATTTTTCACCTTCTTTAACTGGATCAAACCTCGAGTTTAATATTTGAACAAAGCAATTGATTCTGTCCAGGGGGGGGGGAACAAATATCCTAGGAGAAAGCGAATTGCGCGTGGGAATCATAAAACTGTCAATCCCTCTCAATCCCTCTCAACCTCCGAGTACCGAGGCCGAACCGACGCTGAGTAAATGAGACAGATTCCGAATACATTGTATTCGGAATCTGTCTCATCTGATAACAAGACAGGGTGGGCCTGGGGCCGTTACCAAGAACGTTCAACTGTGATTATTTTCCATTAAGATTTTTTTTTTTCTAGCAATCGTCATCCGATGGACACAATCGAAATTCACCCTCTAATCATCCCGTGTGTACACGGGCTTTCGACTAGTTCTTCACTTTTAGCAGACAGGGGGAATAGTAAGGGGTCGAGAAGCAGCATGCCTCAGCAGACAGAACTTGGAGCGTTGGGTGCGATGTGCTTTGAGCGTTGGGTGCGAGGTGCTTTGAGCGTTGGGTGCGAGGTGCTTTGAGCGTTTTGTGCGAGGTGCTTTGAGCCTTTGGTGCGAGGTGCTTTGAGCCTTTCGGTGCGAGGTGCTTTGAGCGTTGGGGGTGCAGTTCTCTGTGCGAACGTGAATGAAAATCAGTCGTAAGAAGCAAACTTGAAGTTGTCCAATTTATCACAGCTTGGTCGATTTTGTGCTAATGTTTGATGGAGAAAACTTTCAATTTCCTTTTCAAAATATAACCGTCTTTTATGAGTCATTCTCACTCTTATCAATGAAGGCTGAGAGTTTATTTTCATTATATGGAGATGGATCTAGACTGCCCTTGGAAGTCTTTCAGGGTGAAGGAGCACATCCTTGAGGCGCAAACATGGGCTCATATATAACTTAATCTTCAATACTGACCTATTTTGGGGTCCTGGAAATCTGAAGAAGTGTTTCCCCCCCGAGATTCCGTCGGAATTATTACAATTAATAGCAGAACACCAGCGTCCACCATTCTTCGCCTGGAAGACAGCGGCAGACAAATATAGTTTTCCTCAGCGACCGCCAGGTTCGCCGCCTGCACAGGGTGGATCACTGCTGATAACGCGATTCCCAGAGGAGTCCCCAGTCCTCTTCCATTACTGGTCCTTGGCTCGACGCGGGACGATGGCTTGAAATGCTTCTTCACGTTCCTATACCTTGAATCTGGAGTCCGGAATCTTGCGAGCAAATGTTTTTGCTGCAGAGCAGGGCTTAATTCATCACGTTTTCCAATTTTAAACATAGTAATAGCAGTATGTGTTTTTCTCTATGCTGTGATTTTAAGTATCTCATTCCTTGAGAAAGAAACGCTTTTAAAGGGTGTGACGAACTGACGAGGAAGCAGAATTTGTCAAAAAGGCAGGGAATTATAGGAATAGGGAACCTGCTTAATGAATAAAACAGAGAGAGATGGAAAGTTGAATCTTGGCGCAGAAGTACCTGTTACAGTGCTGAGTACAGGAAAAATCCGACTTTTGATGTCCTCTTATGGGAGATCATGGGAGGGAAGTATTTCAAGGTTTTTTTTTTCCGTACTGTCAAAATGAGCACATAATCAACATTGAGGTTAGGCACCCTAGAAATAATCGGAGTAACGGTTTCGATCAAAATCTCGGTTACGCCCCCACAAGGTATGAATTTTTCTTCAATCAGCATCCCAGTAGTAACCTATGTATCATGTTTCAGGTTTATACTGTATCTAGAACATGCTTAGAATCGGTCACAATCGTCTGTATACAATTCAAAAGTCACTCATTAAATGGTTTTTTTCGTATTTCCACAGATTTGGTATATTTCAAGGTGAAATTATCTCACACGATAGTCGAGTGGTGCGAAACATTTTCTGGGCTTGCAATGGCAAAAGGTTTCTCGGTTTTGCAGCGATGCAAAATTGCCATCAGGATGGACACGTTTGGTTCAACGAATCTTGTGCAGCATGAATTCCGAAGGCATTTTGAAGTTTGCGACGCTCCCGAGGCCAAAAAAATACAAAACACAAAACATTTGTAGAAATTTGGAGACTTCAAAATCCAGAAGTATCTTATGAACATGAGCGCAATATACGGAAAATAAATGTTTGGTGTGCTCCTAGTGCAAAAGAATCATTGAACACTTCTTTTTTTCAACACGAAGACGGACCAACAACAAATGTCAATTGTGAAACTTATCACGAAATGTTTCCAGTTATTTGGCATTGCTCAATTTGCTCTTTGACCTCGATCAGATCACCTTTGAACAGGATGGGGCTCCGCGTTTTTGCCTGTGCGTGCGATGGCTCCTAAATCATTTCCCTCATCGATGGATTGGGAGACGAGGTTCTAATCCCTGGGCTCCTCGGTCACGTGACCAGACTTATGTCTACTTTTTTTCTTTGTGACTGTGTAAAATGTATGTTAAAGTGTCATATGATTCAGCAGATTTGGAATAACGCACCAGGAATGCAATACAGGAAATTTCTTCAGAGATGTTTTCCCAAGTTGCGGATGAGGTTGTTCGAAGGAGAATGCATTAGAATTGGCTATGCGCATGTGAAAATGCTGTGAACGATGTGAAGTTAATTTTCTCTGATTTAAACAAAACTCCCATAAGTGCTCTGAATGATAATGTATTTCGTTTACGTGAATCTCCTTCGTTTATCGGATAAATTAATTTTTCTTTAACTAGGATTATTGAATCACCCAGTATATTAGTTATAGGAAGTGCTGAGCAACATATCAAAGAAGATCTCGTACAACTTCCCGTACAACTTAATTATTGATGACGAGAGCTCTAAAGGAAAGTTCAATGGTGTCATACCCCCATAATTATGGAAATGTAGAAGAAACATCCACTTTCCTCCTGTACATGGGCAATTATTATTGTTTCCTTGAAATACCTGACTTCTGCGTGCGAAACTGATAAAGCTCTGCTATCTTTATTGACTTCTGATATTCGTATCTCCTGAAATCCCCTGGTGCTAATGCTGGATTCCGAGATGGCATTTCCTCTGTGAAGCATGAGCATATAACACTTGTCCATGTGTTTCGTTGCATCGCTGCTGATCAGGTAGGATTAGAAAGGTAGAGGAACTCAAATGAAAGTGCCTAAAGGAATTAAGGTTCTCTCAATTCTGATTCTCCTGAGATGCGAATTTCGTCCATGCACCATTCAAAAGGATTCTCTAATGTGACATGCAATCCTTATTTTCTCGCCTTTTTTAAAATTTATTTTCATACATGATGTTAAAAAAATAAGAGGTTTTAAGTTTTACTATCAGTTTCCAAAATCAAAAACTCCGGAAGTGGCGTTGTGGAGAGTCCTTATCGGATTCTTATTCACGGCATCAGCATTCTTTTCTTTCCTCTTCGGCCTTTTTTTTAAAGTCCATATCCCAATTCTTTTGGCTTTACCACCTGCAGCAAGGCACCTTAAAATAAGCATGAGATTGGATTGGGCATTGCCATGCTCGGCAGTGATGCGATGGTCAAGAAACGAGATTGCATCAATGCATGAATGTATCAACCGCATGTAAAACAGAGTAAGCTGATTTTTTTTCGTGATACGTTCCAGCGCCTCAAACGTTTCATATATAATACGAAACTCTCAGAAAGAAAACCTTTGTGCTGATTCCTCCAGCGAGGAGATCAATTTTCAAAGTTCCTCAATGCACAATTAAGCTAAATTGGGTTGCCAAACACTCTGTTTCTCAGAGAAGGGTACTGGTGTATATAATCCCTATTCCAACACAACGTTGCATAGAAAATTGGATCGCTTATGTGTCATAACACTCAGTATGAGTAGCCTCAATATGGAAGACCATATCATTGAGTGCAGATAGGCATGAAACCATAAATTACATATATATGTGTAAAGGACGCGAGGCACTTTCTTTTTTTTCACTTTCTTTTCTTCGTAAACGCCGTCGAGGGATCTGATGAACCCTGGGATAATGAGAAACATCTTAGGGGTATTTTTCTAGCAGCGCTTGTGGGATATTTTAGGTTTAGGCGCAGGGCTAATCTTGTTGAAAGATATGATTAACATGCTCACATCGGAGAACATGTTATCAGCTTGCGGGTTGCGTTCAACGAAGAGCTAATTTTACCAATTTTCCTTCATGCCAGAACTTGACAGCAATAGCCCGGCGTTCCTGGGGGAGGGGGGGGGGGGGGGGGGGGGGGGGGGGAGGTAAATGAGACGTACTAATTAGGAGCTCATCAATTGTGTGGATTATTACAAAGCAAAATATCGGATTTCTTGAGGGAAAGCACTTCGAACAATTTAGAGAAGTCAAACATTTATGTTCATAAATGATTAGGAATATCCCTGTGTCTTATATGATAATAGTTCGAAAAATAGTTGTACATTGTTTTTTTTTTTAATTTCACCAGGAAAAGTTCCAGTTCCACATCTGGAGAGCTATTCGTACTGAGCTTATAATTCTTTCCGGAAAGTCGTCTACCCTTAGTAAACGGTGGGATTTAAAAAAAAAATCAATCATACGTAACACAGGTGATTAACCTATTGTTTGTATGTTTCGTAAATGCTCACTGAAATCGGAAATATTTCGTGTTCTCTAGTTCATCTCTCTCTTCTGCTGCAGTTAACTCATATAGTAGATGCGGAATCTCGCTAATGCTGACAGCACACCGAATTGGAGTTTCTGCCGAGCTATTTCTAATTTACCTGATATATTTTCATTTCAGCCATTTTGGTCATTTTAAAATCATTTTTAAGCCATCATATAGTCATTTTGATCTTTTTTTAAATTAAAATATATCGTATAAAAAATATCATGTAGCAGAATGTTTCAACACCAGACAATGAGCTGAATAGAAAGTCTATTTTGTCTCTGAGCATTTTGACTTGAAATGGATCTTCCCCTTGTTGAAAACTCAAATTTACGCAATTTTGATGTTTACTCGAAATACAATGTTTGAAGAAGTTAGAACCTCCTCTTGAAACTTGCCTTCCCTATGTAGTAGTAATTACCCATTCATCCATCCATTTTTAATATATTATTTTTATATTTCATTTTTTTGTGGTATTTCAAGATGGGATGGGAGTGAGAAGGGACAAAGATTAGGGGAGCCAGAGTTTAAATGCTTTCATCTAACACATCATTCCTTTATTGCTCATTTCAGCAATCCCATCAGATGCGTCAGTTTAAAAGAAAAATTATGGTTGTTCTATTCATTCCAAGAACCGCACTAAGAATATTAAAGGAGTTCCTTGAAAAGAAAAATGTAGCAGGAAACAGCAGGAAAAATGTAGCAGGAAAAATGTAGCAGGAAAAATGTAGCAGGAAAAATGTAGCAGGAAAAATGTAGCAGGAAAAATGTAGCAGGAAAAATGTAGCAGGAAAATCCCTACTTGAAAATGCAGCAGGAAACGAAACCATCATTCTAAAGGTGAGACACCAGTTGATCATCTCTTCATCGAGCCGAGCTTGCTTTACGGATGGAAAGACGCTCTAGGAATTCCACCCCTCGACGCTGTGAGTAATATTTAGTAGTAGGTCATTGCAAATTATCGACCATGAAGTTCATGTAATGTCCGATGCATGTATCATTCCGCTTAAAATGCTTAAATAACTTTACAGCTGCATCAAACGCAAGTGAAGATCGGAATCAGAGCAGAGGAGCAGAAGTTCCGTCAGGGCTCCGAAGACGCAATCGAACAGCACGATCGCAAGCATCTTCCAATGGAAATACTTCGCAAGGGCCCGAGGACCGAAGCAGGGAAAACGGGAGAGGGCCCGGTGCCTTACAGAAGTGCGTTCTTGGCATATTCTCATTTCATGGATTGATTTTTTGTGACATGAAACTCCGTTGAAACATGTTGAAAATGAATATTTGTTCATGTTTACCTATAGATACAGTGTAGTTTAGGGTGAAATAAATAATGCCTTTGGAGTTGGGAAGTGAAAATGTTTAAGAACATTGTAACCATTATTTATCGACATGGAGAAAAATTCATTCTCAAGGCAGTGTGCGTCGTGAAAAAAAAATAAGTTTCAAAGATAATTTACAGTCCAAAAAGATTAAGTAATCTTGCGGTTATGCACTGGACGTCATCAGTGTACTTCTTTCAAACATGTTTTTTTTCCCTCTTTCTCATTCCCAATTTCTTGATTAGGAGGGATCCCATCTCTGTCTATGCAATTTTCTCGCATGCCCTTATCCAAAGATTTTCTCTCAGTTGTAGCCTCGTTATTGAGCTTGTTCTGGTAAATGTATGGGACAATCCAGGAAGTGGAAAACTGTGCAAAAATGTAACTCACATGATGGTCCTAGGAGAAAGGAAGAGAGAAAGAGAAATTTTCATAATGCTCAATTCAATGCTAGAGATTTGCTGAGTTTTCCGTTTGTGTTTGTATTTACGAAATGACATTAATTAATGAACAGTTTCATTGCATTCATCAAAACGTGCATCGTTTTCAGATTAATATGAAAGAATGTTGGATAATATATAAATCGTTTAACATTTTGTTCTTTTTTTCTTTTTTGATATTAACTTAATACGCCATTATTTTTTGCTCTTGGTATTTAATGCAGTCCTTTTTCCAGCTCATCTTTTATCTATAAATGATCGTGAGTCAATGACGGACTGCTATTCCAAAAATGTCCAAATATGATGGATAAAATTTGGTGCTGAAATGGTTCGTGAGGTGAAGTTACTGTATATAAGCAGGACAAAAAATATTTTCATGGGAAATTCTGGCATCACAGAACTCACGAGTGGCAAGATTGGTATCACTACGAGAATACAGACAAATGGATTGAGCCGATCCTGTCTGGTTCCCTCTCGCCCCGAGTCCCCAGATGAAGGAAATGTTCAAAAAGTGGCTTAGCAGACTTAGCGATAATAATGTCAGAAACATTGGTGTGTTGTACGACAGAGCAGAACATTTGAGAGGCATTGACATTTTCCCGCTTATTCTCATGAAACTCACCCTTTGACTCTAATAATTTTTTTACGCAGCCATACATGGTTTCTTGGGAGGAATTGGAAGGGGGTCATGGTCTGCCGTCTGGATTCGGAGCCTTGGGAAATACGAGACGTGACTCACTACCCAGACAGCCGAGATATGGACTTCCGTCGCTCCTTCACTGCGATAGCAGGGAAGCTGTACGTATCGGGATGCGATGAAATGAAGATCTACGACCTAACAGGGAATACATGGAAGAAAGGGAAAAAACCTTTAAATTATGCGGAATGGCAGGCGTCCGCAGCCTCCTCCTCGTCCCTGTTCAACTGCGGAGGCTGCGAATACAGCGACAATTTACTCTATTCCAACTATTATACATCGACGCTCGTGGCTCAACAGTGGGTCTTTCGGTACGACACGGTGAAGGATGAGTGGTCTCGTCTGAGGGACATGAAGCATGCCAGATTGGAAGCCGGTGCGATACATCTCCAGAGCTCGAATGTCCTGCACGTGATTGGAGGGGCGCAGAACTTGCTTCAATTCCCCTTCATCGGTCGACTGCGTCGTCGCTCGGATCGTCACGAGCGGCTGGATCTCCGGACGTCGTCGTGGGAGGAGCTGAAGGAGCTGCCGAAGGGGAGGGCGTCTCCTGCCCTGGCTTTTCACAAGGAAATGATTGTAATGGCTGGAGGGAAAGACAAGTTTGACTCCCCTAATAATAATGTGTGGGGGTACGATATCAGGATGGATTCTTGGAGGGAAATGCCCAGCATGAAGAAATGTCGACACAGGCATGGCCTGATATCCTTGGGGGAGAACCTATACGCTATTGGGGGGAAAGGTGAAGCTTCCATGGAAGTTTTCGATGGAAGGAGCTGGGAAAATGTCCCTGTTACTCATGATGACTTCAACGATTGTATGCATGGTTGCCAAATGATTTCTGCCGAGTGAGGAATATGATGTGAACGTTTCTCGTCATGTGTAAACAAAATCTTTGTCTCAAAATTAAAATTGCAAAGCTGCAAATTGGGAAAATCTTTGCATCTGGCTTCAAAGTTAACATCGTTTCACGCTCGGAATCGATGACGGGGTTGCGTTCCGCCTTGACTGAAACCAAAATTGACGGTATACGAATTTTCAGGCAGCACATCTTCACATCGGAGTGAGACTCGTCCTGTCCAACGTATTGCATGAAGGACTATTTAGCGCTTGGCACGTGATGGGGATCGGATGGCAAGCAAGCGGTCGGGTGCGAAATGGAGATTTCCAAATTCTCCGAATGAATTGAATTCTTGGTGAAAATGTCAGAGGACCTCCGCGGCATTAATGTTGGTGCGATTCCCGTCGTGGAATGAAAGAAAGGAGATACGCGGAGCAAGAACGATTGGACTGGGGATCGGCGGCGTGTCCAGACAAAAGTAGGCAGCCGATCGTTAGGTGGGTGGTGGGGGTACACAAAATGTCCGAAGTAGAACGTAGTCCGGGGTGGTTAATTTCTGTGCTTAGGTACTCCATGCTGGAATAGAGAGCAGGAAGGGAAATAACGTGGAGACAAAAAAAAGGATCCTCCGTTTATCATGGCCTCATAAGAGCAATGGTGTAGATAGGGAGAGAATGTAAGCCGCTCTGACAGGCGCATGACGACATTCGTGCGGAATGTGAGGGAGCTAGGATTGTTTGCTGCAGTGCATGTTTCACTCACGAGAGCTTTCATAAATATCCTTGAGCGATTAGGATTTTTTTTAAAATACGTTCTGTCGTTAATGGTAGTGGCGGGCCGACCGATCAAATAGTGGACGCATTGCCTCCTCCCCCCACGCTCCTTTGCCCCGACCCTATGAGCTCAACATTCCCCGCCCCCCCCCCCCTCCGCCCCCCTCTGCCCCCCTCCCCCTTCTTTAGGGGAAGAGGAACTCGGAACAATCTTAGACCCCAAGAGTGAGTCCCTGGTTCCTCTCGTTGCAGAAACTCTCGCCACTGCTGGGAATGAAGCGGAAGAAACTGAGAGAACGAAATCACTTTTCTCGATTTTCCTTTCTTCCCAACATTCCAGTCGAAGAAGCGAGGAGCGTGCAGAGGCTTTATCGTGTAGCCAATAATTGCCCACGCCAAAACGCTATCATGTCGGTTTTGCGCAAAGAAAGAGGCTGAAAAAACCTCGTCCCATACTGAGTCTACAGCAGAATAAGCTGTTTAACGGGGCAGTAATTCACTATAGCAGCTTTTGTATCAATATTTCGAGATTCTTCTTTGTAAATTAACTCTGAATGTTTGTGTCGTTTTCGTTAAGTCGTTTTCGTTAAGTCGTTTTCGTTAAGTCGTTTTCACCTTCCTATTCTGTTCCCATTTTAGGTACACCATTTACGTTCGGGTCACCCTGACCCGATATACGTTTCCTTTTATTTGAATAGGAATTCGCTTGAGTTTTTTGCTGCTTCGTGATTTCTTATAGCAAAAGGATCTATCACACATGTGCTCATTATTTTAGTAGCTATGTTTGCATACCTATTTATTGTTAACACTGAGTTAATTCCAAAAAGTTCCAGCAAAAACTGATTTCCAAAATTGTCTATTGTGACAAACCCTTATTTATAGCTGATTTTGCAAGGCACATGAAGTGTACTTGGGCTCTAATTGCAAATACTGTATATTCTCCATACGACGTTCAGTTGATGCTTGTTTTTTTTTTGTCATAAGCGGAGAGACAAAAAATGTACATCCGGCTCTTTTTTGCTGCTTGTTGAACTCAGTCTAGCAAAGGAGCTCGAGCCATTGCATGGTCCAGGCAGTCGTGCAGAAATGATGACGGAAGCAGAGAACGGTGTGTGTGAAAAACATTCTCCTCTCTCTAGCAATGGCAAAAGAACTGCATGTCCAATTCTTCTAAGAACAATCTTCATTCGAAGAGTTTGTTTTAGTGCCATCCCGGTTTTTTTGGAGTCCACAGCACATATGCATTGTAGACCAAGGTGTCCAACATAATATACTGGCACCCAAAAGAAATATTACAAGGTAATAAAGGGCTCGCTCGCAGAGTAGGAGTTGTGATGGCATTATATCTGTCTTTTGCTGAACAAGTCAACACCTCTTGAACATTATTAGCGTATGCTCGCTAACCTTTGAGCGCTGTGCATGTGCCACGTCAGGAATATGTCTAATTCGTTTTTCTCCCTGTCCTATGTAAAGTTCAGATTTCCATAGACGAAAAAGGGCTGATTCCATTGTGTATTTCATACCGTCTCTGAAAAACATGAGAGATATGCCAAGGCTAACGCAGCAAGAAAAGGACGAGGGGAAGAAAATGCTCCAAGAGGATGTAACGCAACAAGAAGTCACACGGCGACCCGGATGGGCTCGTGTAGCCTAAACCAGAATGAATTTCCCAAAACTGGCAGAACGCTTGACTTTTAGATTCAATACATTTCTCAAGGGCAACTGCTCCAGAAACTTGTTCCAAGAAGGTCCAAGATGGTGTAACCCATGTTGAAAATGCACTAGTGGGTGCATTCAGTTGTGACCCGAGTCATGACTCGAGGGTCTCAATTCGACACTTGCATTGAGGCTTTGAAATTAATTTTACACCATGGTGACACCTCTTGTCAATGTCATCAATCCTGGGTATAATAGTTTTTGAAAAGCGCCGCACCTGCCGAGAATCATGAACCCCGAGTCATGACCCGGGTCACAACTGAATGCGCCCAGTATTGCAATCGGGTCAAATAGACCCGAGCAAAACAGGAGGGGGTATCGCAAATATTTCAGTAATGCTTCGTGGAAATGAGTTCGCCTTTGAAGTAGTAAATACATTAGAAAAATTAGGAAAAGTAAGAAAATTTCAGATTTTTTCGGTGAAATACATGGAAGCTACATCAGGTTAAATCAGTGTTTCGGGTCATATAGACCCGAACAGAATAGGAAGGTTAAAAAACGAGTTCTCCTATCAGAGAAGCGGGAACAAAACACGATGAGAACGGAGTTTCCAGGATTCAACTTCATTCCCAGGCCCTGACCAAGAATGGTACACTTAATTTATTCTGGGAATCTATACAAGAAGTGGATTTCATGAAAGCCGAGTTCATCTAAGCACGAAAAGGAAACAAAACACTACGAGAACGGAGTTGCTAGGATCTAACTTCATTCCCTGGTCATGACCAAGGTTGGAGCAGATAATTTAATCCGGGAAATTCTCTAAGCATCTTATTTCTTCATAACTGAGTTTCTCCAAATATGAAGCGGAAACAAAACACGATTAGATCGGAGTTGCCAGGATCCAACTTCATGCTCAGGTCATGACCAAGATTGGAGCAATGAAATTAACCCGGGAATAATTCTAAACATTGGATTTCTTCAAAATCGTGTTCAAATAACGATGAATAATAAAATGTGGACGATTAGAACGGAGTTGCCAGGATCTAACTACATTCAATGGTCATGACCACGATTGGAGCAATGAATTTAACCAAGGAATTTTTCTAAGCATCGGATTTCTTCAAAACCTTGTACCACTGACCATGAACAAGAAACAAAATATGATGACAACGGAGTTGCTAGGAAACAACGATATTCCCAGGTCATGACCAAGGATGGAGCCATCAATTTAATCCATGAATTTTTCTGATCAACGTTTTTCATCAAAACGAAGTTTCTCTGAACAAGATGCAGAAATAAGGCACGATATGAAAAAAAAGGAGCCAGGATCCAACTTCATTTCCATGACCAAGACAGGAGCCATCAGTTTTTCCCGGAGATATTTCAAAGCATCGGATTTCTTCAAAATCGTGTTGATATTACGATAAATCATAAAATAGGGACGATTAGAACGGAATTTCCAGGATCCAACTTCATGCCTAGTTTAATCCGGGAATATTTCTAAGCATCGCTTCCTTAGAAACCGAGTTGCTCTGACTATGATTGTGAAACGAAGAATGATAAAAACGGAGTTTTCAGGATCCAACTTCATGCCCTGGGAATCTATACAATAATTGGATTTCATCAAAGCCGAGATCATATAAGCACGAAGCGGAAACAAAACACGACGAGAACGGAGTTGCCAGGATCCAACTTCATGCCTAGGCCATGACCAAGATATGAAAAAATTAGTTCAATCTGGGAATTTTCCTAAGCATCGGATTTCTTAAAAAACGAGTTCTCCTATCAGAGAAGCGGAAACAAAACACGATGAGAACGGAGTTGCCAAGATCCAACTTCATGCCCAGGTCATGACAAAGATTGGTACAATTAATTTATTCTGGGAATCTATACAATAATTGGATTTCATTAAAGGCGAGATCATATAAGCACGAAGCGGAAACAAAATACGACGAGAACGGAATTGCCAGTAAGCAACTTCATGCCTAGGCCATGAGCAAGATAGGAGAAATGAGTTCAATCCGGGATATTTTCTAGGTATCGGATTTCTTCAAAAGCATGTATCTCTGACCATGGAGCAGAAACAAAACACGACGAGAACGTAGTTGCCAGGATCCAACTTCATTTCCAGGTCATGAACAAGATTGGAGGAATTAGTTTTTTCGGGAACTTTTCTAAGCAACGGATTTCTTCTAAAACCATGTACCTCTGACCATGAAGGGGAAAAAAAAACACGATGAGAACGGAATTCCCAGTATGCAACTTCATGCCTAGGCCATGACCAAGATAGTAGAAATATGTTCAATCTGGGAATTTTCTTAAGCATCGGATTTCTTAAAAAACGAGTTCTCCTATCAGAGAAGCGGAAACAAAACACGACAAGAACGGAGTTGCCAGGATCCAACTTCATTTCCAAGTCATGAACAAGATTGGTACCATTACTTTATTCTGGGAATATCTACAATAATTGGATTTCATCAAAGCCGAGTTCATATAAGCACGAAGCGGAAACAAAACACGACAAGAACGGATTTGACAGGATCCAACTTCATGCCCAGGTCATGACCAAGATAGGAGAAATG